TATTAAATTAATCCATTTTCGTGTTTCATCACACGAAGGCTTTAATAAAATCAATCAATACGTGGCAATGCTTGTTGATTCCCCCTGCGTGTAAACAACAAGATAATATAGAATACATATGAAGGGAACATTGGATTCAAAATGAAGCTTGGCCAAAATTGTAACCATCCCTTAACTGGTCCACCGCGAATTTGTTATCGACGTAATTTGTTGTTAATTGAAACGATAAAAAAGAAGAGGAGTAGTTTGGAGCAGGGAAACTGTTCCCCTGGCAATTAACTTAATTAAACAGGGAACTTCTGACTTTCTCTATGGGTTTTTTAAAACGACCAGAGGACAGAAGGTAGGAGGAGAAATTTAGAAAAAAAGAAAAAAGAAAAAAGAACTGTGTGGATATTCCCTGTTGGAAACAAACAAAGGAGGCAAGATTTATGAAGAGTCCGCTTCCATTACGACTGATAAATAAATATCAGATTCGTGGAAGCGGAAAAAAAGGGAATTGTAAATTCCAAAGGGAGAGATTTCTCTGTTCGGCGAACGGATTTCGAAAGTCAGCTGGTATCGTTTCGGGGAAAAAACAGGGGAAGGAATCCCCGAGCTTGTTTCACAAAGAGAGATACGAATGGCAACGAGTATATTGGATGGAAACCGTTTCGTTCAGTCCTTTTTATTTCCGTTTCGACTCTTACGCGCTTTGTATGAAATTCCGAAACAATTCCACGGCCCTTCCAAAATTCAACGTCCTCTGTTTCACCGTTCAATCTCTTTCGAAATATTAACCGACCTATTTTTCTGATTAGTTCCCAAGAGGACCTAAAACAAAATTGTACGGGGTAAAAAAAAACGATCACGCAAGTTTTCTAAAAATTACTCTACTTAAAAGATAAAACGAACTTCCTTAATAATTCTCTCATTTTTTAAAGTCCATAGAAGAACTTTACAGACATCATTTTTTATGTACAGCATGATCGAAAGAAAATACTAGGGTATTGGTTTTCTGATAAAGGTAGGACACGTGTTGGTTGAGGAGAAAAAAAACTGCTGACCGTTGTTGGTCGTCCCATCGACGGTAGGAAAGGGATTCTATATAGGAGCGACGTTAGCTGGCCGCAAAATTAATTTCATAAAATCGAATCAACCCTGCCACAGGCTCGTCCATTACCATCGCGATAAACGCGTTACAAATCCGATTAGGGAGTCACGGAAAAAATTCTACCGACAGAGGAACAACGATATGCATAACGCAGTTTCAAACTTTTTAATCGTGTGCCTTCTATTAAAAACTGCATATGCCTCGTTGTGGGTCAGCGTTTTGTATACGAAGAACGTGAAAAACATGGATGGGAGTTAATTAGATTAATTAAAACGCGAATCTCTGTCGATGGATCCGAGTCAGCGGGAATAAAAGAAGCGGGTGTATCGTGAAAGACACGGAACAGAGCCGGGGATGCCTTTCAGAATCGCCGCACGTAAGACGACGCGACGGCTCTTCCAGGCATCCTATCCGTCTGTCTAACGACCGTGACGAGCCCGAGAGGAAGGAAATAGACTTTCAAATGAACTCTCTTTGAGACAGGATGTATGCATTCTTTTTCTTTCACCAACGATGCACCTCGAGACACCGTATGTACACGCGTGTGTACGCTTCAGCAAGGAAAAAATTGTTTCTCCTTGGAGAATACCGATAACAGCTTCCCGCGATTTGTCACAAGAATTGCTCTTGGCAATCTGTTTTCTTACAATTAAATCACGAAACTGCGTATTCACTGTTGAAATAGATACGATAGAAAATCGTTTCTGTTCTCCTATTTTAAAGAGAATCCATGCATTATCATTTATCATATGATAACCAGCAGTGGCGTGTTAGGAGGAATTCTTACAAAGAGATAGACTCGTTATTCTCGTTGCAGAATTATGTAACGTTTGTGCAAGGTGAAACTCACCGAAAATGGTTCCGACGCTGCCGGCGATCGCTCCGGAAATCGCGCCGTCCGACAGGGCGTCGAGGCAGGCGCTAAGGGCGCAGGCACACGCGCTCGTACCTATAAGGTACTCCAGTATCATGTTCCATCCAATAATGAATGCTATTAATTCGCCTACGGTCACGTAACTGTACATGTACGCGCTGCCAGTCGTGTGAGGCACTCGTACTCCAAACTCGGCGTAACATGCTCCTGCGAACACAAATCAGCCACGTTTTCACTTTCCCGTACGTGTATCCCGGTTTCGACGTTGTGAAATACGCGTGTATTCGTGCAGAGGAATTTTCATTTAACTGAGAACAGTGGAACATCTCGTACACGGTGTTGGGAATATTAATTTTAATAAAATTGTTTGGTACAAATGAAATAATGGGAGAGATTAATTTTTTCAATACATTAATGCAAGTCGAGAGGAAACCAGAAAATATCTACCGTGCATCAGAAATTAATTAATCAAACGGAAATTTTGCAAAAATGAGACAGAAAAGAATCCGCAACTGCACGAAGTGCTTCCACTATTCTTTAACACTATAAAAATTCAATTCTCCTGATTAAAGTGAATTTCTAAGATAAATCGCTGGACGATTCGAACGACTATTTTTCCTGGACGTTGAAACAGCATTACTTCTGAAATTAGCTAATGGCATGGTCAATAGGTATGCGTACATCCGTGAATATCGACGCTTTAATCCGGTCGTTGATTCGGTCCCGATAACCGACGTAACAGCTGATTAAAGCTTCACACGTTTCGAGGGATCGTTAATTGGCGTTCGAACGCGGGCTTCGCGGCAACGGGTTTAAATTAATTAAGCTTCGCGACGGCGATACCCTCCTCGCCTCCTCGCGTTCCATCTTTTTTTCTCTCCGCATTTTATATCGACCGTGACGCGACACCACGCACGAATAAATATCGGCTTATCATTTTATCGCCGACGCAGACCGTCCGGGGGAGTAATTTCGCGTGCATGTTAATTGGCTATGACTGTCCGTGTTCATATACTATTTCCGAAAGACTTGGCTCGCGTTATAAATTAGACGTTTAATTATTATCGCTTCTGCCACGTTAATTCAACCCAATTTTCAATCAGCTGCTATTTAAACGTCGGACGTCACGTCGGATCATCGATAACGGAGGACAGAGGAAATTATAGCATTTCGGAAACTGTCGTCATTATATGATTTTATCTCAACGTACGAGGAATTAAATAAGCGAAATGAGACAGTAACGCGTATTGAACACGCGGTATGTCAATTTTTGCTGACGACGAGTGGATAACAGAGAGAAAGAGAGGATAGAAATTCACCGAAGCGGTGTATTCGCGTCATAAAAGACGCCCTAGCATTCTTCTAATCTCCCACGGTCCTTCCGGTTCTCTGATTTTTTCAATCAGACGACGTTCGAATGGTTCCCAAGAGAAATCACCGGTCGGACGAAATAAAAAAAGGGACAGATGCAAGGAATATTTCTGTCACTCGATGCAAAAAGCGACCGTGCCGTATCTTTTAATATCAACCACGATCGTCACGAATGAACGGCTCTCCGGCCATCGACGTGCCTGCCCTGCTCAGATATAATAAGATATATTCCGACGTCCACATTTATTCTCCTAATTACTTGGCGATTTTTTTTTAGTTTATTTTTTACTCACCGGAAAAAATGGAAGCAACGGCCGCGATTATGAACGAGAAGACGACGCCTGGCCCGGCGACGCCGCGCGCGACCATCCCCGCGACTAGGTACATCCCTGTCCCGACGCAGGAGCCAACCCCCAAGGACGTCAGGTCCAGAGTCGTCAGGCACTTCTGTAAAAGTGGAAAAACTTTTCAATTTAGCACAAGAAAAAACAATAAAAGAATAACAAATTAAATGTTAATAATTGCACGAACGTGAGTTGGTTTTAAATTTACCACGACTGTGTGTGTGTGCTCCTGGCGAACGTTCGTAGTTTATAGTAGAAGTACATAGACAGAGGGAACGAGAAAGAGAGAGATTCCGGTCTCACTCACGTATCGAACGTTTCTCGCGAACCGTCGATTCTTTCGCGGAATTCCCGACGAACTTCCGGGAAACAATGGCGCGGCGCCTGGGGAAGCGTTTCGCGGTAACGAAACTTTCCAAATAAAAAGCCGACCGACGCGGCGGCCGCAACGCCGGGAAACTTCACTCATCCGTTCGTTTCCACGGTCGGAAAAACCGCGACGATTTAACCAAACGCTCGCCAGTTCTCACCGTTCAAAACGAGTTTCTCACAGAGATCTCGAATTGAGAATATAAGAGAGTGATAGATGTATGACACGTACGAGAGTAAAGGATAATAAAATGTGGAATCGAGAATATGAATCATGACCGAGTGATCAGTCTCGGTGATCCGGAGAAGCGTGGGAGCGAAGGGTCGTGAAAAATCCTGTTAAAAATAGCCAGGATCGATACGCGAAGGTGGATACACCACGTACGTACGCGGCATCTCCTCAAGGAGCCAGAATCTTAATGTCAACCGGTAAGAAGAAAAATGTAGGGGAACGTTTCTCGGTATAAAACATGACTGATATAAATCGCGCCTCTATTTCCGTCTTATTCAATTATGCCGGGAGACCTCGCAGACGGATATGGTTAATTGAAGAATCGAGATCAAAAGTAGACTTAATGTCAAGTATACGAGCGGCGAGCAATTTTAATTTCAAAGTTCGTTAGGTTTCTGTATTTAATTGTGTCGTATCATCGTGTCGTGTTACGTGAACGGCATCGTTACGCATTATTCTGTGTTTCTCGCAATTAGAGATAACGACTCGCCTGTAGTTTTTGCTTGGAATCGGTCGAATGCAGTGTCTCGGGCCTCGGCTTGCCTTGGTCACCCTGAAGACTCTCTACATTTTTCGTTCGTATAAACTTTCTGAAGAGCTCCAGACCCTTCTCCCGATCCAGTTCGAGCTTCATTTTTCCTGCAACCAAAAGATAATAATTATGTATTAACGTCCAATGATAATTATGTACAGGGTGAGTCAATACATGAAATGATTCCATTTAAAATTCTCTAGACGACGAAGTATTATTTTTGCATCTTCGTTCAGTGAGAAACTAATTGGAAATTCTTGTACTGCTTTCGAACAACGAAACGGTACAAACGCTATTTAGTCCGGATAGAAAAAGAGAGGAGCAAGATTACGCGATGAGTGTAAACAGCGAGGGATAATCGTTCTAGAAGAAGGAGGAGGTGCTTTTGCGAAAAGCACTCGGCTGATAAATTATTCAACGCGTGCTGGAAAAGTAGGCGCGTATGAAAATGCCGTTTATGCTCGGTCCTCTCTGTCCCTCCGCTAATGGAATTCTTGAACGTTGTCTGATCACTCGTTGACCCGTTCCACTGGCCCGTCCCGTTCCTTCTAAATCAACTCACCCGTTCCGAGCGTTTCTCGGTCCCACGGTTTTTAAATCTTGTTTCATGTAAAGAAATTATGAACGTCGAGCAGTGTTAATGCTCGACGGTTGTATGCATTTAGAAAATCAATTTACGGTACCGAATAGTGCAATCTTCGTTGCAAAGTTAAAAGAGACATGGATAATTGCTGTTCACAAATAGCTGACACAATAAATTCGCAAGTTTTTCGCTATAAACAATTCGCGAGTTACTATGCCACGGGACGGATAAAAAAAAGTACTTGAAATTCAGGAATACTATCGTTCATTGGTTTTATTAGAAAGTTTCGCGAAGCTACTTTCCAAGAGACGTGCCGTGTCGCGCCCATTTATAATGTTATGCAAATTTTATTCTCTTCAATTTTGTTTTTCACTTGCCGAACCTGAGGGATTTTTATCCGTGGAATTTTCACGTTTCGTTGCCAAGCGAGAACGGGAAACAGCCTTCTGTTGAACCACTGATAAAATATTCCCACCGTGCCAGGCAAATTTATTACTCTATCACGTGTCCGTTTATTTATGACACACGATACGGTATCTTGCTAACGTGCCCGGATCAGTTTTTACTTCACAAGACTATTTCTGGAGAGCGAATATCGCGAGTTGAATGAAACAACTTTGAGAGAACGGTCTTAAGTAGTACAACTTCGAACTGATCAGACAACGATCAAAGATAGTCTACGTATGGCATTATCCAATTACTGTAACTCGTTTAACTGCAAGCTATCATTATGCCTAAGGTGATGGTTATATCTGGAATTCTAGAGTCATGTTCTAGTTGACAAGTGCTATACATCAATTTTACTCAGATGGAATCATTACACGATAGAAAAAAAATGGGACATAGTACACATTTTTTAATAAACTAAAAAAATTCCCTGTTGTAGGAATAAATTGCAACATTTACTAATTTGCAATTTCCAGAATTTTATTACAATATAGCTCTGCACGTCAGCACGAACTACTGGAATTTGTCCTATTGTACATATTTTTTGATCCTTACATCTATTCAATATGAATAATTGCAGGATAGGAGTAAGGATATTTGGGATACGATGAGTAAAGATTTTGGGTAGTTTTAAGGCTGAGTATGTTAGCGACAGCTTATTTTTAATAAAGAGTTGTCAAGGATAGTTAACCCAGAATTCCTCGCCTTTTTAAATGGTTTTACAATAGAGACCCAGCTGGGCCTTAAGAGGCTTTGCAAGGGTGGTGTCCAAATGGTGGGTGGCCATCGAGTATCATAAAATACGTTGGCCATAAGGAAACGTGGAAACAGTTAGAAAAGGTAAAACAGCATAGCACTAACAAAGATATTGTTGTTGAGGATCTGGCCATGGAGTAGGGAAGGCAAGGGTGCCTTCTGGTGAGAAACAGCACGACACTTACCCCAGACTCTTTGGAAAGAACGCGTCTAGCTAGCTATCAGTATAAATATCTAACAAGTAACATCCTCTATCTATGTTTAAGACTATTTGTCGCAGAATAAAACTATACTAACGCTGATAACTTAATTGGTCATTCAACATCCCAGTAAAATCGTGAACCTGATCGACGAATAATTCTAAACTTACTGATACCCTTTACAAAAGACAGAAGACGAACTTATAAAAATTTGCTTTGGCACTTTCTATAAAAAGCTCGTGAATGAAGATACTCAGAGGAAGCAATGAAGGTGAGGTGACAATACCAGAGAACGTATTTCTCCGTGAGAAATCAAGTCAGCTTGTGACCCAGAAAAGCTGCACAATTAACCTGAAGATCTCTCCGGCTCTTCGGTACAAGTGCCCGAAGACTACCAATCGGAGCTGCTGCTCGAGCCACAAAGGATTTTCCTGATCTTTTCCTCGTGGCGCCCATAACCAGCGAACAATGCCTTGTTGTTCCATTTCCATTTCTTTCCTCAACCTCGAATAATTTATACGAACCCTCCCTCTCTCCCTTCATCCTACGCTGGGCCGTTCAACGCTCGCGGCTCCGAGTTTCATCAACGCTTGCTACAGCAATTTTTAAACTGGAAAACCCATAATTCACCGTGACAACGCGGTATTAAACGACGGCCACGGGCGCACGCTCTGCAATTTTAGGCGACCAAGACTTAACTTCCATTTTCCGTGACACACGCGCTGTCTGACGCGCGTTCCGAATAAAGTTATTATTTGTTATTTATAGTTTACCACAGGAATTAGTATCAAATGCAATTTCGCGTATCTTTTTAGAAATAAAAAAACGACGGTAAAAATTCTGTGCTTCGCTGAA